CAGCATCAAGCTTCAACCAAAACATTATTTTTATTCCTCATTATATATATATATATATATATATTCACCCTCTACGCCCTTCCTTCAAAAATTCCAGATTGCCCTATCAATCAGGTATATGTAATTAATACCATGAGATTTAGTTTCATCCCTCAAATCATAACATCAACGTTGCTGAGACAAACATCAGACATATACACACATATCATGCCTAATTAGTTCCCAATCTCAACATTTTCTTCGCTTATGAAAATTCTAGATTTTGGCATTTTTTTCCATTTTAACTCCAACAAAATCTGTTCACTATAATTCAGAACATGGAGCCAAAACGAAAGAATAATATAAAGAGCCCAACTCGTTCTCCCCATGCTTCGGTCTCAAATGGCTTTGTTCTCTCTCTCTCTCTCTATATATATATAGAGCTGATACTTTCAGCGTTCAAGTGCTCCTTGACCAGTAAATCGAACAGCATCCTTCCCTCCTTAAGTCTGACATTTTTCTTATTCAGAGCACACCCCCTCGCCCTCAATAATTACATAGAGCATATAAAATCAACATATTATAATCATACAACCAGAAAATAATCAGTTATATTTGTTCGTTCATCATCTATTACCCAAACAGAAGTCATTTCTGTAATCCTCAAACCCCTGTTTCATAACTATCAATCGAAAAAACAAGTGTAGAAATCCCAACACAAGCTTCATCCTAACCAGTAAGTGCAATTTCTATAGCTTGGCTCTCACCCTCTTTATTTTCTCCCTCAAAACCAGATTTCATCTTCATCACCACCTTGCAACACATGACCAAATAACCGAAAACAAAGATGGAAGAAGATTCAGAGACTCACCTTGCTTGATTTCCACCTTGATACAAATCGATTCCCTCCTCTTCTTGCCTTTGCTCTTCTTGCTCTCTCTCGAAGTCTCTCAACTCTTTCTCTCTGTTTTCCCTTCGAATGGCAGAGCAAAATGAGAAGGGAGGAGGTGTTAGGGCGTTTTAGATGGATGAGGGATGTGAAATGTCCATTTTGCCCTTTGGTCCTCATTTTGCTTTCAATTTGGTCCTTCTCTATTTTTTTTTGGATAATCAAATAATTCCAGAAATCACACACGGATATCTATATGAATTTTCTTCTTCCATTAGCTTCTTTAGTCCATAAATAATTTTCCTAAAAATCTCAGCTCAAAAATTATCCTCTAACTATTTTTCTTGAATATTCCAAGAAAATAGGTCCTAAATTCTTGAAATTAACTTTATAATTATTCAGACCATATTTTAAGGGTCTTAATCTCAACAATTTCTCTAAAAATTTCTCCTTCATCATGCTTTACTCAAATCCATAAAATTTGGGATATTACAATTCTCCCCCGTAAAATAAATTTCGTCCTCGAAATTTAAAACGTACCTTGAAGCATAAAATCTGGGTATTGTTTCTTCATGCCTTCCTCTAATTCCCAAGTTGCTTCTCTAGGAGTTAATCCCTTCCAAACCACTTTCACATATGGTATACTTCTGTGCCTGAGTTGTTTTTCTTGACGATCAATTATTCGTTCTGGCTCTACTTCAAAGGTTAGATCATCCTGTATACTCATCTCTTCGTGTTCAATTATATGTTCAGGGTCTGGTTGATACTTCTTCAACTGAGAGACATGAAAGACATTATGTAACTTACTTAATTGCGGAGGCAAAGCTATTTGATACGCCACTGGTCCAACTTTACCAAGAATCTCAAATGGACCAATGTATTTTGGGCTCAGTTTCTTCGTCTTCATTGCTCGCCCAATGCCCGTGATCGGTGAAATTTTGAGGAATACATGATCTCCGACTTCAAATTCTAATGGTCTCCTTCTCTTATCAGCATAGCTCTTTTGTCTGCTTTGAGCAGAAAGCAGTCTTTTTCTAATAATTTTGATCTGCTCTGTGGTTTGATCAACTAATTCCGGACCATACAACCTTCTCTCCTTAGCTCAGTCCAGCACAATGGAGATCGACACCTCCTTCCATACAATGCTTCATATGGCGCCATCTGAATACTCGCGTGATAGCTATTATTATATGCAAACTCAGCGAATGGCAAGATATAATCCCAGTTTTTCTTAAAATCCAAAACACAAGCTCTCAACATATCTTCAAGTGTTTGGATAGTTCTTTCTGTTTGACCATCAGTTTGAGGGTGATAAGCTGTGCTAAATTTCAGTTGAGTGCCCATAGCTTCATGAAGAGATCGCCAAAACTTTGAAGTAAATCGTGGATCCCTATCTGATACAATGCTAACTGGTACACCATGGAGTTTGACTATCTCTTTAATATATACATGTGCTAGCCTCTCTAAGGTATAGTTAGCTTTAATTGCAAGAAAATGAGCAGATTTTGTTAAACGATCAACTATCACCCAAATGGTGTCATACCCAGCCGCTGTTCTTGGCAAACCTCCAACAAAGTCCATCGTCACACTTTCCCACTTCCATTCTGGAATCTCTAGTGGTTGTAAAGGTCCTGGAGGTTTCCGATGCTCTATCTTAATCTTTTGACATGTGAGGCAGCGAGCTACATACTTTGTGACATCACTTTTCATTCCTGGCCACCAATATAATGACTTCAAATTGTGATACATCTTTGTCATGCCCGGATGAAGGGTATATCTACTTTTATGTGCCTCATCAAGAATTCTCCGTCTAAGTTCAGCCTTCAGTGGAATATAAACTCTTTTCTTGTATCTAACCAGCCCACTAGGCGAAAAATCATAATCTTGTGTCTCTCCTTTTTCAATTTTAATCTTGATTGATCTCGCCAAGTCATCTTGTTCCTGAGCTGCTTCTATTTCATCTCTCAAGTCACTTTCCACTTGAGTGGCGCCATAACCTGCTAATATCATCTGATTTGACAGATTAAAATCTCTAAATTTCTCCAATAATTCTTGTTCCTCAATCATTAGAGCTGCCACTTGCACTGTTTTTCTACTCAGGGCATCAGCGACAACGTTTGCTTTGCCCGGATGGTATTTGATTTCATAATCATAATCTTTCAATAGTTCCATCCACCTTCTCTGCCTCATATTCAATTCTTTTTGGTCTTGTAAATACTTGAGGCTCTTGTGGTCACAGTATAATTCTATAGTTGCTCCGTAGAGATAATGTCTCCATATCTTGAGAGCAAACACTATTGCTGCTAGCTCTAGATCATGTGTAGGATAATTCTCTTCGTGAGGCTTAAGTTGTCGAGAGGCATATGCTACCACTCTGCCTTGTTGCATCAAGACACATCCCAAACCATGTTTACTTGCATCACTATAGACTACATAGGTCTGTTTGGGATCAGGAATAATCAAGACTGGAGTGGACGTGAGCCTTTTCTTTAACTCTTGAAAACTAGCCTCACACTTATCATCCCATACAAAGGGTTGATTCTTTCTAGTGAGCTTAGTCAGTGGCAAAGCAATCTGGAGAAATTCTGGATAAATCTTCTATAGTAACCAGCTAAACCCAGAAAACTTCTTATTTCTGTAACCGTTTCAGGCTTTTTCCATTTCAACACTGCTTCCACTTTACTAGGATCTACTGCAACCCCATCACATGAGATAACATGGCCTAAGAATTTAACTTCTGTAAGCCAAAATTCACATTTACTGAGTTTAGCATATAACTGCTTCTTCTTGAGAATTTCTAAGACAATTCTCAAATGCTCTTCATGCTCTTCTATGTTCTTGGAGTATATCAAGATGTCATCAATGAACACCACCACAAACTGATCCAAATACTGTCGAAAGATTCGATTCATGTAATCCATGAATACTGCCGGTGCATTAGTCAGTCCAAATGGCATCACCAAGAACTCGTAATGCCCATACCGAGTTCTAAAAGCAGTTTTTGGTATATCTTCTGCTTTTACCCGTAACTGATGATAACCCGATCTAAGATCAATTTTGGAGAATACACAAGAACCTGCCAACTGATCAAGCAAATCATCTATTCGAGGAAGTGGGTACTTATTCTTGATAGTCACTTTATTTAATTCCCTGTAATCAATGCATAATCAGAGGCTTCCATCTTTCTTCTTTACAAATAACACCGGAGCACCCCATGGCGAAACACTGGGTCGTATAAACCCTTTTTCTAGTAACTCCTCTATTTGTTTCTTCAGTTCTACCATTTCATTAGGAGCCATACGGTACGGGGCTTTTGAAATTGGTCCTGCTCCGGGTATGATATCAATTGCAAATTCCACTTCTCTTTCAGGGGGTAACCCGCTTATGTCATCAGGAAATACTTCAGGAAATTCCTGAACCACTGGTATCTCATCTAGATTTACTGCTGCTTCTGCTTGTAATGAAAAGAAAACCATGTACCCTTGACACCCTTTCTGTAACCACTTTTCTGCTTGACTTATAGAGATGAAGTTTAACTCAGGCTCAATTTCATTAAACTTTTGGGGATTAGGAAACATAAGCCTTTTATTTCCACAGTCAATCAATGCATTATTAGCTGATAGCCAGTTGAGACCTATAACTATATCCATATTTTGGAATGGCATACAGATAAGGTCTATGACTGTATCATTTTGCTCATACTGAATTAAACAATTCAAACAAACACTAGCAGTAATAACTTTAGCACTCGTGGGCGTTGACACAACCAAGTCATAAGGCAATTTATCAACCTTTAACCCTAGTCGTCTAGCACATTCATAAGCAATAAAAGAATGACTAGCACCAGAGTCAAACAATGCTTGCACTAAATTGCCATTAAGTCGAATTGTACCTTGGATCATATTTGGAGACTTGCGAGCATCCTCATGAGTCATAGCAAAGACTTTACCTTGATTCCTGGGCCTGAACTCCTCCATTTTTTGCCCACATTCTCGAGCAAAGTGACCAGGCTTTCCACATCTATAACAAACATTGGGCCCAAACCAACATGGCCTGTTCCCATGGTTTCTGCCACAATGAGGGCATTCTTTCACTTCTGCAACTCTTTGGGATCCTGGCTTCTTTGGTTGATTCATTCTTTTTGCATTTCTCCTATCCCAAGGAGTCGGATTACTTCTCTTCCTTGATGGTCCTTCAGAAGCTTCTGGCTTACTATACCTTTGATCACATTTTGAGGTTGCAGGTTACTTTCAGTGATTCTGCATACCTCCACTGCTGTGTCAAAATGAGCTAGCTGCATAGGAGCCAACTTTTCTCTCAACATGGGCTTTAATCCACGAATCAGTTTCCCAGTACTCCAACGTTCATTATTTCGCTCTTGTAGTTGTGTGGAATACCGGGACAATCGGATGAACTTAGCTAGATAATCATCAAATGATTCATCTTCAGCTTGTGTTAGTGTCAGGAACTCAGCTTCTTTACCATCCCTAATTGACTGAGGGAAATATTTCTCATTAAACTTCTCTTTAAATACTTCCCAGGTAAGTGGAACATTCCGAGCTTGCAAAAGCAATTCGGTGTTTTTCCACCATCTATCCGCATCACCTTCTAGCTTATATATTGCCATTTGAGCTTTTCTTTCAGTAGAGCACTCCATAACTCTGAAAATCTTCTCCAATTTCATTACCCAATCCTCAGCTGCTTGTACATCAAATCTGCCCATGAATGATGGCGGTTGATGCTTACAGAATCTGGAAATCCAATATTGTAGACTTTCTTGCTCTGCAATTGGTCTTTCAAAAGCCACTTCAGGGACCTGCTGTGGGTCTTGTCGTGGTTGTAGTTCAGGTTGTTGTTGTAAGCCTCCAATAGGAATATCATTCCTATTCTTTTCTTCTCTTTCTTGGTCCTGTCTAGCCTGATTCTCTCTAATTTCATTTATCATTTGCTGTTGTTCATTAAGTCTGTCCAAATTTGCTGTAGAGGGTCAGGTGGGGGTCTGTTTTCATCAACTCGACCTCCACTTCTGCCTCCTCTGAGTATAACCATCTTTACTGATCATGAAATAAATCATAATCAATAACAACAGCAATATTAAATTTCCAATTTACAAACACAAATAGATAGTTGTAAAATAATGGTAGGAATCAAATTCCTAAAACCACAATATATGCACCTTTGTTACAATTAACCATAACAAAATTATGTATCTCAAGCGAGCAGAGCATTTTGACCTCTTGCCAGAACCTCCGCTCTGATACCAAAAATGTAACACCTATCCCTTATATACTAGTAGAATTATTCTATTTAATCATGATCCATTAAAAGCCAGGTTTCATCCTGGGAATTATATATATTTTTATTTCCATCCGGCCCTTCGAATCCTGAATTAAGTCAACTATAGCCAATAGGGTTTAACATTTGACACCCTGGCCATTGGCTCACACGACGAGATACATAATTAGATACACATAATTTTAGGCCAAATAATAATTATATCAAAAAAATTTGACCATTTCCTTCAATAGCAGTCATTATGATCTATCTGCCCTTAGTCATCTCCTTATGGAGGAATATTTACATACCAAAATAGATATACAATATATATCTTTACTCCAAAATAAGATGCATTTTAAGCAAAATATATATGTACAAATGATCGCCAGCTTCTTGCACCTTTAAACTCCACCGATCACTACTCCCTTGCCCTTAGGAGTACTTGCTCTTGCTGTATTACATGGAAGAAGGGGTGAGATTCTAAAGAATCCCAGTAGTAACAAATTTCCCTCACGTAATCATACAAGATCACAAACAACATGCTACACAGGCCAAAGAGAACAACACCTTGCATCCAAGTATAATCAATGATGCATATACACCATACACCCATATAGCTAATCGCTATCTATCGCGCCCACATTCCAAAATAAATGGAAACCAGCGCATATTGTCATGACAAATATTATTATGCAAAGGCAACTTACATGTTCTCATGCACAATCAGCATAAAGGCACATTCAAGCATGTGGCAATCAATGCACAATCACATTAAAGGAAAAGAGTTACTACCTTTTGCTTTTTCTTCTGTACTCCCTTCCCCTTGTCTCCTTCTTGGCTCCTTTCTTAATGGATTCGAACAAATATCAAATCCTATAAATTATTTGAGTAAGGGCAGATTAATATATATATATATATATATATCTCTAGATATTCATATAGAGCGTTACATTAACACACCTTATGATTTAAATCCTTCATGATCATTTTAACGGGGCATCACGTTTTGACTTCCATCCTTTTAAGACTCCTATTTGACATACATATTCATAATATAACACTTATATAAGCCTATAAACTCCCTATTTAAACATTTTGCATTTGAACACCCCAAACACCATCTATAATTCAAACAGCACCATTTTGCCACTGTTTCTAAATTTTTTCCAGCATCAAGCTTCAACCAAAACATTATTTTTATTCCTCATTATATATATATATATATATTCACCCTCTACGCCCTTCCTTCAAAAATTCCAGATTGCCCTATCAATCAGGTATATGTAATTAATACCATGAGATTTAGTTTCATCCCTCAAATCATAACATCAACGTTGCTGAGACAAACATCAGACATATACACACATATCATGCCTTAATTAGTTCCCAATCTCAACATTTTCCTTCGCTTATGAAAATTCTAGATTTTGGCATTTCTTTTCCATTTTAACTCCAACAAAATCTGTTCACTATAATTCAGAACATGGAGCCAAAACCGAAAGAATATATATAAAGAGCCCAACTCGTTCTCCCCATGCTTCGGTCTCAAATGGCTTTGTTCTCTCTCTCTCTCTCTCTATATATATATATAGAGCTGATACTTTCAGCGTTCAAGTGCTCCTTGACCAGTAAAATCGAACAGCATCCTTCCCTCCTTAAGTCTGACATTTTTCTTATTCAGAGCACACCCCCTCCGCCCTCAATAATTACATAGAGCATATAAAATCAACATATTATAATCATACAACCAGAAAATAATCAGTTATATTTAGTCTCGTTCATCATCTATTACCCAAACCAGAAGTCATTTCCGTAAATCCTCAAACCCCTGTTTCATAAACTATAACCAGAGCCATCAATCGAAAAAAACAAGTGTAGAAATCCCAACTACAAGCTTCATCCTAACCAGTAAGTGCAATTTCTATAGTTTGGCTCTCACCCTCTTTATTTTCTCCCTCAAAACCAGATTTCATCTTCATCACCACCTTGCAACACATGACTAAATAACCGAAAACAAAGATGGAAGAAGATTCAAGAGACTCACCTTGCTTGATTTGCACCTTGATACAAATCGATTCCCTCCTCTTCTTGCCTTTGCTCTTCTTGCTCTCTCTCGAAGTCTCTCAACTCTTTCTCTCTGTTTTCCCTTCGAATGGCAGAGCAAAATGAGAAGGGAGGAGGTGTTAGGGCGCATTAGATGGATGAGGGATGTGAAATGTCCATTTTGCCCTTTGGTCCTCATTTTGCTTTCAATTTGGTCCTTCTCTACATTTTTTTTTTTGGAATAATCAAATAACTCTAGAAATCACACACGGATATCTATATGAATTTTCTTCTTCCATTAGCTTCTTTAGTCCATAAAATAATTTTCCTAAAAATCTCAGCTCAAAAATTAGCCTCTAACTATTTTTCTTGAATATTCCAAGAAAATAGGTCCTAAATTCTTGAAATTAACTTTATAATTATTCAGACCATATTTTAAGGGTCTTAATCTCAATAATTTCTCTAAAAATTTCTCCTTCATTATGCTTTACTCAAATCCATAAAATTTGGGATATTACAAATGTGGTCTTTTCAGTGAACTTTAAAATTCTAATTTGGTCATGTGTGCTCAAAGAAATTTCTATTATTTAAGTGGACAAGTGAGGATTTCAATATCCAAGTGTCATATTTATGTTTTTTTTTTCCCGTTATTTTTTTGTCCATCACCGTAAGTATTAAAAAATGAGTAATACCGCTCTAACCGTAACCTTTTTAATGGTAAGGGCAATATTTGTTCTCTTCTTCCAACACTTCTATGATGATATTGAACTAATTTTTTTTTTGGGGAAAATTAATCTTCTTCTTCAACTTACTTATAATTTAATCTCTAAATTATGATTCGGTAGGATTCAACCCCTAAAAACTTTTAACTCGCGCTATGACTCTGTCTCTTCTTTTTTTTTTTCACTTTTTATATTATTATTTTTCTTTGATTTATGAGTCATCAATATGGTAAAAATAGCTTTTAAGTTAGCTCCACTTGGAATTTCTTTTATTTAAAATTTAAAGAAAAGAAGCAGGGATAGAAGTGGATGGATGTTGTAAAGACGAAAAGAAGAGGTGACTACCTCATCTGCTTTACAGGCCTTGCTTCAGAGCACCACCACGGTCAAAATCACCTCTCAACATAGAGTGAAGATTATAGTAGAGAGACTGAGTTGTAGACAAGCTAAAAATTTAGAAACAGAATCACACTAAGTCATAATTAAAGGATTTTTTTTTAAAATACTCACAGCTCATTCACAAATACTTTTAAAATAAAAATAATCCTTAACCCATAATTTTGTTATATAAACTTCATATTATATATTGATATAATAATATTGAATAGTGAAAATTTTCTAAATGAAATTGATTGTATTGTTACCAAAGAATTTTTATTCATAATATGTTGACGAACATTATTGATTTTGTCCACATTAAATTGCGTGTCTTCTTAAATAAAGTTTTCAATTTTAATATCCATAGACTTAACAATAAATGTATTTCGATTTGAAGAAATAAAATTATCAAGCTCATTGAATCATTCTTAGCTCACCCGAATAAATTCTAATAATTTAGGTCACCAACCAATTCATACCAAGCTTTTCCGGGACTGAAAAAAAAAAAAAAAAAGATTTTTTTTTCACCGAAAAAAAGCAAAATTTTTACAATAGATCTCTTATCGACAACATTCATAATACAATTTGCAAGTTATATAGATTTTTTTGATAAGAAGTTACATAGATGTTAATATTGCTATTGCGTGCTGGATCATGCACCAAACAAATTGTAAGTACAGAATTTCAAATCACGAACAAATTTAAAAAGTCAAAATGTCTTGAACCCAACCCGACAACAGCCCTACATTTTTGAGACATTAACAGCCCGAAACACTTTTGAAAGTTCATCCGTCAACCAAAAATATTTAATGGTATAATTTTATCTCTCAAATACTGTCTTGATTTTTAATATAAAGCCTAATTAACTAATTTAAGAAAATTAAAAAAACTGAAAAATTACTTTATTATAATATATGTAACATGATTTCTTTAAAATATTTATGTGTATAATTAGATTATACTGCTTTCAATTTTAAATATAAGACTTAGTCTGTAGTGTAATTTACACAAACTACAAAAAAAATTGAAATTTTAAGAAAAAAAGTTGAAAAGAATATTTTTCACCTATATAATTAGCCCAGGTTCTTTTGCAAGGAGTGGCAAACTTCTAAGCTGCCCAGTTCATTTCTGATATCTCTTCCTCTCTTTCCTACAAACTCCAGAAGATGAAAATCACATCGCTGTGGATGCTCTCTTTGCATGTGTTTGTTTCGCTCATCACTGTCATAGCCACTCAGCAAAGGTCGTTGCAGACGGTGGTGATAATTCAGGTATGATGGCTTGCCTTCCAATTTCTAATTTTTCTTCTCCAACGAAGTGCTATTCAAAATAATTAGTGGATACTCCTGGTCTTTATTGTAAGACGCCTTCAAGTAAATCACTTATGTTAAGAAAAGTTAGTTATATGATTCAAGTTGTTCAAAAGCAACCCAATATTTCATTTATATATGCCTCTATTGATTAAAAGAATATTGGAAACATCATTTCCACAATTAACTGGGGCTTGTTTTGTGTGTGTGTGTGTGTGTGTGTGTGTATTTATTAAAAAGGCTGAGAGATAATAATATCCAAGAAAATAGGAAAATTATGACTTTTGATCCCTAAACTTCTCAATTATCGATTCAATCCTTAAATGTTTACTGTAACTTGGAACAACTTAGTTTCCATATTTCTTGACTCAAAAACAATTTAGTTCCTATAATTTCTTAACTAAATTACAAGGACCGAATTATAATGAATCAGAGCCTAAGAGTTTAATCGATAATTGAAAAAATTGTAAATATCATATGTGGATTTTGAAATTTGATCTGATTTTGGTTTTACTCCTTAAAATTTGAAACCAATTATTTTGGTCATTGAAACCTCATCTCAGATACGACCAAAAGCTTTATTCTGGGGACCAAAAGTATTTAGGCGGACCAAAATGCCTAAATAGTTTCAAATTACTAGTTTCAAATTTGAAGGATTAAAAACCAATTGAGGAAAACTTTGAGCAACTAATTAAAGATGATACTAACCCCTCAAAGACTAAAGTTATACTACCTTTGGCCCTTTTTATAAGATCCTATTAATTAAATTATACTGTTTAAGAAAATAGTTAAAATAAGTTAAAAGTAATAAATATGTAAAAATTAAACTTTTTTTTCCAATATATCGATCAAATAAGAAAGAGAAATAGTAACTAGGAGATAAAAGATGAAAGAGCATTGAAAATTAATTAGGGACAAAATTGTTAAAAACATATTTAATGTCCAAACAATCACTAATAAGATCTTATAAGAAGGATCAAACCAATTCAAATTTTGGAATCCAGAGGGTGTATTTTCTCTCGAAAGTATTATAACAAAACATATATTATACTCTCTGCCCTAAATATAAGTTATATTTTGAAGGCTTTTCTTTTGTCTTAAATATAAAATCTCCTCTCTTTTTTTTTTTCATTTTATCTTTCTCATAGCACCCCTATTTATTACAATATTACTAATTTATCTCTAATGGCAATGATGCTTCTGAAAAAGAAATGTCACAAATTTCCTACATATTAATGACAAACAATTACCTATTTTTATATTCCATGAATTGGTTAAAGGGACCTTAGATCTAAGACAAGAAGAAATGGAACCCAATAGAAGTTTCATTTTTTAAAAAAAGTTACATGTTAATACAATCTTTGATCTTTTAAATTTGCAGTCATTTTGGTTTTGGTCCTTTAAACGCAAAATGGTTCGGGTTTTTATTATATTATAAGAAGTGATGTTTTAGATGAAAAGAAGTTTGAGGAAACAGAACCTATGATTTGAAATTTAAGGGATTAAAACTAAAATGAAAGTAAATTTGAGGGACAAAAAATCATATTAAGCCTAATTAATAAGTAGGGATGAGAAGTTGTGTCTATGTGTGAATGGATTCATGGGAGCAGGTTTCAAAAGCATAGATTGCGGAGCAAGCAAAGATTATTTGGATGAAGTGACATGGATTTGGTACCGGACAGATGAGGGCTTCAGTGAAAGCGGAACCAATCACGGACTGGCCCCCAACATTAGCTTCAACAATTATGCTCCAACCATAAACCGGCACCTAATGACCGTGAGAAGTTTTGTGGAGGGAGAAAGAAACTGTTACACTCCAGTGTTCGACCTTTACCTGGGGGTCAATTGGACTACGGTTCGAACATTCCTTAATGGTCCCCATCTCTTTCCAACTGAGATAATAATGCAGCATGATGGCACTAGAGAGATGGTTCAAGTGTGTTTGGTGAACACAGAACAAGGGACACCTTTCATCAACGCTTTGCTATTGGGGCCATTGAACAGCTCTCCCTATCCAGCTCCGCTTCTCCTTATTATGGATTTCACTTTTCCTGTGAGAATGGACTTGGGCTCTGGCCTCATGCCCACTAATACCAGCTATGCTCTTCCGAACTTTGCCCTTACTTTCCCTTTCTCTTCCCGATTTTTCGTCTTGATTCTCATGCTAATAACTCAAGATTTTGTAATTAATCTATTGGTATTTTAAAAACTCCAACTTCTTTTGTGTGTGTGTGTTGCTGTGGCGCTACATCTCAGTGATTGAAGAACCGAACCGGACTAGATGGTTAGACCGTCTAATCCAGACTTGCTGACAGCCTAATTTGAAACAAAAAACTGTTTTCATGCTTGAGTTGGATTAGGCTAGAGCTGAGCCGCTATTGAGCCTGGAGTCGGAAAAAAACCGAGAACAAGAGTATTTTTAGAAAACCGGATGAGTTTTTGGCATCATGGAAAATGCTGAAAAAAGTTCAATAAAAACCTATAAAAGAACAACTGACCCTCTCTCTCAATGTTCATTATATTTTTAGTCAATTTGTAGTTATATGGTGTTATTTTATTGAAAAGTTCATATGCTATGACATTACTATCCTAATAATTAGATTTGTTATGAAATAATTTCTTTCATATATTATATTGTATTTATATAATTAACTTTTATTAAATTTTTTTAATTGTTGCATCACCGGTTTGACCGGAAATATGCTTTAATAGTGGTTAAAAAGTTGTGTTTGTAGCTGTTTTTAGCTGCTAATATTTTTTTTAATGATTTCTCATGCTGCTCGGGTTTATCTTTGACTCCAGATATGAGTTTTGCACAAAAGGGCACCAGATCCTGCAATCTATTCCCTAAAACATTCTATTACTACTTTTGGTCCTTAATATAAAAGCTAGATAACTAATTTGGGAAGATTAAAAAAATAGTTAAGTTGCTTATTAGTCACAAATGTGTGTTGGTCTCGTTAAAATATCCTCTTCAATTATATGTATCGGATGGTTGGAATTCTCTCAGTAGGAATCCCTTACAATCAATAGAGATATTTTAAAAAAATATAAAAAATAAAGTGGATTAAAGTCTTATATTTAAAACCAAATTTAACCCCTAACTACCAGAGATAGTATTATATATCTTGAGCCCTTTGATCCCTGTGACATTCTTGGAAAATTTGACTCATCTAGCATCGCAGTCTTCTAAACTTAGTCTAGCTTGAGTTTTTAGGTTCAAAATTTGGGATATAACAAATACCAAAAAGAAAAAAAATTTATACTAAATGTTAATGAATATATAGTTTCTTTCACAAGACATTCCGAATAACAAACAATGTTGTATTATTTTTAAGTTTTTATTTTTTTTAATTTTAAGTAAATTTCTATGTATTTTGATAAATTAGATGTCTTGAACTATTAAAAAAAGGGGATTAATAAATAATTTGCCTAGCTATTTTTGAAAATATAGGTACGAAGACGATGTGTACGATCGCCTATGGTGGAACAATGATAATACCGATTGGGATCTCTTAAAAACAAGAGAAGAAGCAAAGGTAGAGGATTCCCTTTATGAACTGCCGCGGGAAGTATTGCGCACCGCATCACAACCCCAGAATCATTCCACTCTCTTAACTGCAAATTTCAGTTATTGGAGATATGGTGATGTATCCGCCCAATATTATATGTTCCTTCGCTTTGCTGAAATTGAAAAGCTTCCTGCTGGCCACAAGAGGATCATTAATGTCACTTTTGATGATGATGAAAACTCCCTCTCTCATGAACTTACACTTCGATACTTGAAGCCTATTACCCTAATTTCCAACAAGATCACCAAAGGTCATATAAACTCCACTATCAAAGCAGCAACTAATTCATATGCTCCTCCTATCCTAAATGCTTTTGAAATTTATAAAGTGACTGAAGAACGAACTGTTAGTTATTTTAGGGTCACTTTAAAAGTTAACTGAATTAATGCAGTACAGTGCATGATCTGGATCGTATTCATTTTAGGGAGCCTCTAAAAAGATCCTAAGTAACTAAGCATGCAAAAGCTAAAGAATTAACTTAGAAAGGGGTTGATTTTTTTTTTTTAACTAACTAAATGGCAAAATTTAAAAGGATGCAAAATGAGTAAGTAATTTTTAGATTTTTAGTTTATAAAATGGATATGAATGAAATAAACAAAGAGAATTAACAAGTGATAACAAATGGAAAAGCAATCCTCTAACACAGTGATTTAGGTTATTATTACTTTAATTAATTTAGGAGTTAACTAGATTTAAAAGACTCCAAGGGCCACCCCCGGACACAGTTTAATTGGAATAATCAATACCAAGCCACTTTGCATATTAATTACCTACAATTAAACTGTTTTAGTACAATTAACTAAAGAGAATCAAAGGAAAGAAATTAATATTTTTAGTCTAGTAACTAAGCCACCTTGAATTATCACTGAATATTCATAATAATTTCAAAACATAGTCTAACCAAGTAAAGAAATTAAAGTTAATCACAGCATAATGTCAAATGCTAATCAAAGATTCTAACAACTACAACCAATCTTAATACAAATATAAATCATCACAACACATTCAAATATTATAAAATTCATTCTAAGACTTAAGGAATCACAAATACAATAAAAGAAGTAAAGATTGGAAGAGTTGAAACTCCCATTTGAAACTCTAAGTTCAAGCCATAAACACTGTGCTAGTGAATTGAAGGATTTAGTTAAGGCTCTGCATCATAGGCTCCACCGTATGCTTCAATAATCACAGCTATAGCAGAACAGTGAAGGAGTCGATGAGAAAATCAGAGAGCTGTGGCTTCTACTAATCTCTCGAATTTTCTTCCCCGTTTTCTTTCTTCCTATATATTTTCTTCCCTCCAATTCTCCTGCACCAATCACAACTGATTCCAAGAAGTTTGTGTCTATCCCCAGTCACAAACGCCTTACATACCGTCGACTTCAATCCTCGTATTTTCTTCTCTTTTCATAATCTTCAAATTCTATCGTCCTTTCGTCTGAGGATAGCTTTGTTGCATCAATGGTGGCCAAGACAGAAGGAAAGACTGTTGGCATTGACCTCGGCACCACCTACAGCTGCGTGGGTGTTCGGCAGAACGACCGTGTTGAGATCATAGCTAATGATCAAGGTAACAGAACCACTCCTTCTTAAGTTGCTTTCACTGATACATAGCGTCTCATTGGGGACGCTGCCAACAACCAAGTGGCCATGAACCCACAGAACACCGTTTCTGACGCGAAGCGACTCATCGGCCGACGATTCTCCGACCCTTCCGTTCAAAGTGACATGAAGCACTGGCCGTTTAAGGTTGTCTCTGGTCCCGGTGATAAGCCTATGATCGTGGTTCAATACAAAGGAGAGGAGAAACAGTTTGCCGCTGAAGAGATTTCTTCAATGGTGTCGACGAAAATGAAGAAAGTCGCAGAGGCATATTTGGGTCAAACGGTGAAGAACGCTGTGGTACCGTTCCTGCATATTTCAATGATTCTCAGAGACAGGCTACGAAGGACGCCAGTGCTATTGCAGGGCTTAATGTGATGAGAATCATCAATGACCCACCGCTGCAGCCATGCTTACGGTTTGGATAAGAAGGCGTCAAGGTCTGGAGAACAGAATGTTCTTATCTTCGACCTCGGAGGGGGAACTTTTGATGTTTCATTGCTCACAATTGAAGAGGGAATCTTCGAGGTGAAGGCTACTGCTGGTGATACTCACTTAGGAGGTGAGGACTTTGATAATAGGCTTGTGAATCACTTCGTGCAGGAGTTCAAGAGGAAGCACAAGAAAGATATCAGCACCAATGCAAGAGCTCTGAGAAGACTGAGGACTGCTTGTGAGAGGGCAAAGAGGACTCTGTCTTCAACGGCCCAGACGACAATTGAGATTGATTCACTCTACGAAGGTATTGATTTCTGCTCTACAATTATCAGAGCGAGGTTTGAAGAACTGAATATGGACTTGTTTAGAAAATGCATGGAGCCTGTGGAGAAATGTCTTGGGGACTCTAAAATTGACAAGAGCAGAGTTCATGAGGTTGTTCTCGTTCGTGGATCTACAAGGATTCCAAAAGTGCAGCAGCTTCTGCAGGATTTCTTCAATGGCAAAGAGCTATGCAAGAGCATAAACCCAGACGAAGCTGTGGCTTATGGAGCTGCCGTGCAAGCTGCAATTCTGACTGGTGAAGGGAATGAGAAGATTCAAGGCTTGCTTCTACTTGATGTCACTCCTCTGAGCCTTGGCATTGAAACTGCAGGAGGTGTGATGACGGTGTTGATCCCGAGAAACACAACAATTCCCACAAAGAAGGAGCAAATTTTCTCTACATACTCTGACAATCAGCCTGGAGTGCTAATTCAGGTGTATGAGGGAGAGAGGGCAAGAACTAAGGACAACAACTTGCTTGGAAAATTTGAGCTCGGATCCCTCCAGCACCAAGAGGAGTTCCTCAAATCAATGTGTTTTGACATTGATGCAAATGGCATATTGAATGTGTCCGCAGAGGATAAAACGGCAGGAGTGAAGAACAAGATTACTATCACCAACGACAAAGGAAGACTGAGCAAAGAAAATTGAGAGAATGGTACAGGAGGCAGAGAAGTATAAGGCCCAGGATGAGGAAGTGAAGAAGAAGGTGGAGGCTAAGAACTCCCTGGAGAACTACGCCTACAACATGAGGAACACTATCAAGGATGAGAAATTTGCAGGGAAGTTGGATCCAGCAGATAAGCAAAAGATTGAGAAGGCAATTGATGAAACTATTGAGTGGCTTGACGGGAACCAATTAGCCGAGGTGGATGAATTTGAGGACAAATTGAAAGAATTGGAAGGGTTGTGCAACCCAATAATGGCTAAGATGTATCAGGGTTCTGGTGGCAATGTGCCCATGGACGGTGGTGCAAGCATGCCTAACGGTGGCTACAGCAAATCATCATCTGGTGGTGCTGGAGCTGGGCCAAAGATTGAAGAAGTTGATGAGTTTTCAACAAAGGCTGTCCTTTGTTCTCTGTCTTGCTAAATTGAGTTTGTGATGTGAGCTTGTAGTGTCCTGTGCTGTGTATTCAGAATGGTCCTGAAAATAGTCATATCAGTTGTACACTTTGTATTTTGAGTTTTTCAATGAAAAATTTAATATTTCATCTCCTCTTTCAATTTTCCTCAGAGAAGCAGTTATTATCTGTAGTAGCTGACACATTTGTTAGGTGATGGTATATTGCCTCTGTTAAATATCCCACCTTCAAATTTGCTGCTGAGTCCCAAATTGCACAGGGTGTGTTTTAGGATCCTCCTGCTCACCAACCACCTCACTGTGAGAGAACAGAAAGGAGAATTTTTATTTTACTGTGTCAAACGGCTTCATGTATGCACGATGTAGCTAGCAAGCTCGGGAATTTGTGTTAACTGTTTCACTTTTGTTTCGTTTTTGCAACTCTTAAGTAACAAGCCAGCGTGAGGGCACGAAATTGTGGACTTTATCATACTTGTTCCCTTCATAACACCTGAAGATTTTGATTGATGTACAGGAGAAGGCCGTCCTGTCTGGTAATTCTGTTCTTTTTGTGTGAGCTACTGAGCTTAAATGTCTTGTGGTGTCAAGTACAGAAAGATCATGGTAGAGTATCAGATTTAAACCCTGTATTGTTAGTGGAATGAGCAGTTTAAGCATTTCATCTCCAGTTATTTTAAAAAAAAAAAATCAGACTATGTAGAGCTTCATAACGCTGGTATTCTCTTTTTAAGACTTGGAAAATCTCGTTGCTATAGGTATTTTCTTTGTTAATAGCTGAGTATTATAAACAAACCATGTCAACCATGCTCACATTGCGCTGCAGATTCATTAGACAATGGTCATTGTATCTCTGTAATTTTAATTAAATTTCCAATAATATCAATATCCGATCCAAGGCAAGGGGTGCTAAAGAAAACGAAAGAGAAGAAAATGAGTTTAAGAACAGGGTTTGCTTGGTAATTGGGATCATTTACTCCCCAATTTGTTGGCTCCTCTGCTTTCTAGGTGAAGCCAAATTTGCTTCCGGGATATGCACTATGATTTGCCCGGGGAATAGCTACCGAACTTTTATGTTGGACTTTCAGGTTTAATACAAATTTTCTTTAATGTTTGAGGAACTGTTTCATCTATATGATTTTTTGTAGAAAATAGGCACGTTGTGTTTCCTCCCGCATGTTTGGATTAGCTTATGATTTAGTGGTTTTGTGGGACCTAATGCCCAGGTCCACCTTTGGGCTCTGACTTTTTGTTTTCCAAAACCTTTGGGGCTTTGATTTTGAATCTTGATAGCGCCTCATGTGGGTTTTTATTTTTTGGCTCCTAGTGCCTGGAAACCATCCACTTGTAACTTTCAGAATAGTTTTTTTTAATGAAAATTAGGATAAATGCCCCGTTATAAAATAATTGACAAATGATTCATAAGATATTCAGATATTGGATTACACAAATTAGAAGTTAAGTTGTTAAAAAAAACATATGACTAATTTGCATTTAGGAAAAGGAATTGTACTTAAAGAAAATTCAGTTGCACAAATAAGATATGTCACACAAGAAAAGATAATTGCATACAAGTGAACATGGATTTGGCCAAAAAAAAAAAAATACAAGTGAACATGGATTTACACATGAGAGAAATTAAGTTGCACCCAAGGAGTTTAAGTGGCAGAGTCCGTATGAATTATTTGCCAAATAGTTTTTCTCAATTTTTCTCTCTTTTTTTGAGTCCGCGTTAGCTGCCGAGCAGATCGGCGGGGACTTGAAGCTCATCTCCAAAAACGACGACGTTTGGATTTTAGTGATCCAATCGTGGCATTTTCTTCTTTCACCTCCTCAGTCCCCCTTCCCTCCGCTCCTTCCTCATATCCTCACCCCCGCGTTTAGACCTGTCGAGATGGGATTCAATTCCTTGCAATCGCAACTTCCATCATCGAAC